CTCAGAGTAATATCACAAACATCATATTCACCTGAGTAGATAACACCAACACACACAGAAACATTAGAATAAGTTGTTACATATAATACTTGCTAAACATGTAGTCCTAACATAGTGCCACTGAGCTAAATATATTCAAATATAACTCCAGTGTATAGGCAGCATATTGTGTTTAATTAATGCATTTTTTAATTACGACTACATACCAAGACGCACAGGTATTGATAAATACACATGTGAACTAGGTGCCCCTCAACCCTTTCAACTTTTTCATGGAGCACTTGAGCAGGCGCACCTGAGAATTTTTAGGCAGTTTTGTGCACCAGCACTTCGGGTGCGTCCTTGTTGCACACCAAGACCTTGTTGAAAACTGCCCTACTCTGTAGTCTGGATGCTTGCAAGAGTATTGTTTATTTTATGTTACGAGTATTGTTTATTTTATGGGACAGCTGTATTGACTGTATTAAAGTTGTGTTGCTTTTCGTAGTTGTGATTGTTTATATTTGGTTTAAGGAACCTACGAATTATCAGCTGCATTGTTCATAAAAATTTTAGGACTCACACCAGTAATTCCAAAGTAAAAATAATAACTAGTAACTATGAAATATTATAATAATAATTATTTATATATATACTCAGCTTTGATGTTATTCATGTTTCCTGCCATAAAGTAAAGCACCAAATAAAAAAACTTATGTCAGATTGAAGTGGGTCTTATACAACAAATATAGAGCAGGAAATCAGCCTGAAGTGGTTCTTGTATTTTGGGTGCTTAATTGCCCAAATTTCAGGTTCAACTTGGTGGTTCTTGAATGCACAAGTTCAGCCTTTTGAATAATGGTTTTTAAGGCACATTACAACCCTTCTAATTGAGAAACTAACTAAGAAAATCAATTATAAAGCTTTTCACTGCTTTTCAATTATGCTGAATTGATTTTCCTATAGTTAGTTGATCAGTTAAAAGGGTTGTAATACTAGGAATGTTCGGTATGAGAAATTTCCGGTATCGGTATACCGAAAAAATTATACCGATATTATCAGTATACCGGTTTTCCTTTGATAATCATAAAGGAAAATTCTTTAATGGAAATTTTGAGTAATTCTAAAAGGGAAAACGATAATTTCGAACATGTTTAGAACGACACATACTCAGTGTAAAATCTCACTGAAGTGGAAATCCTAAATCATTGCAGTACGTAGAAAGTTCTTTCTTTGAATTGCCATTCAGTATTAAAATAAAGGTTATGGTTTTGCCATGTAGTTGGTAAATTTAACACAGTATACCAAAAAATTCCGGTATGTCGGAAATTTTGGTATATCGGTATGGTTGAATATCCGGTATCGATATACCGATATTGATTTAATACCAATATTTTCGGTATACTGAACAGTCTATGTAATACCATGCACTGTTCTTTATGTAGGGCTTTTCTGCATATACATATACAAATGTATGATGAAAATTTTAAATCTTATTTACATCCAGTCATATCCTGTTAAGTTTAAATGTAACTTGAACTATAATCTCAACCCTGATGTTGTGTGGAAAAACCCAATCAATTGAAACTTGCTAGCTATGATAATATATACAATATAATTCATGCATGGAAGCAATAACTCAAGCAGTGAGGAATAAAATCCTCTTGTGACAATTAGAAACATCCAAGTAAAACACTATTCTTAACACCTGTAACTGTAAGGAACAGTGTATGTAGCAATATGAGTGATTGAGCATAAATGTAAACACAACATACAATATATAGAGTACCATATTTTATACTTATTCAAAGTATTTGACATAAATTCTACGAATTCTCTTTCCAGCGGTTTCATTGGTGGGCTGATTTGGACCAGGTTGCCTTTGCCTTTGGAACTCAACATCATACTGCACTGTCTGTTCAACCATCTGTTGACTTACAATTTCATTATTCATTTCACAGAAATTATGTAAAATGAAACAGGTGTGAATTACAGCAGGGAGGTCATCAATATTAATGTCCATCTCTCTTCTCAGGCAATCAAAGTGAGCTTTCAATCTCCCAAAGGCACACTCTATGACCATCCTAACAGAAGAAAGTCTGTATCCAAAAAATTGTTCATGAGCATCTTTCCCCCCTTCAGCAAACTCTTTCATTAGAAAAGGCAAGAGGGGGTAGGCAGGGTCACCTAATATACAGATGGGCACAGAATCTTCATTCTCAACAACTACTCTGGGACAAGAGGGAATTGTGCCATCTCGCAGTTTTTGGTTTAGGCTTGAGTTTGCAAATATGCGAGCATCATGAACGCTCCCCGGCCATTTAATCACTACATCGAGAAAACAGTATTTATAGTCGGCACATGCTTGGACATTGATCGAGTGTCTACCTTTTCTGTTTATAAAATCAGTTGACTTTTCTTGTGGTCTTTTAAATGGAACATGAGTACCATCAACAGCGCCGAGGCATTGTGGAAATCCATGTATCTTGTAAAACTCTGTCACAAGAAATTTTACTTCATCTTCATTTTCTGGTAGTTTAATATAACTTCTTCCCATAACATAACTGATTATTTGTGTGACACGCCTAATTACAACTGAGGCAGTACATCTTGCACTCCCAAAGGCATTTGCAACCTTTTGCAATCGTCCTTCGTCAGCAACATAGTAAAGTGTGATTGCAACTTGTGTCTCTACAGATAAAGGTTTTCTATATCTAGTCGTTTTCTTCTCAAGATATGGCCGCAACTGATTACAAAGTTTCAGGAAGTTAGGTTTAGACATACGGAAATTTTCCTTCCATTCTTCACTGACAACCTTTTCGTTTATAAAGTTTTCCCACCATATATTTGAGCGACCAGGTCTTCTTATCAACTCTGACAGTCTCATACGAGACTCTAGTACAGCCATCAGTCTATACCTTCGTCGTTTCTTGTACATTATTACCAGAAGTGAAAATAGTGCAGATGTCAGTTGAAAAAGTGAGCAAGATATGCCCGTAAACAACATTAACATTGCCAAACGTAATGTTTGTTGTTTGCTTGCCGCCATCTTGAATCATGATTGAGCCCCAAAATTGCTCCGATTGGTGTTTACATTGCAATGAGAGTGTTGCAAAAACCGATCCGATACACCGCACACCACTTCGAAGAGCGAACCGCCGCACCACCAGTTCGTTGCAGAAATTGAGACGATAACAACATTTCATATGTAAACAGAAGCCCTATCCGGTATGGTTTTTGTGTCGGACGCAAAGTGATCCGATACAATGTAAACATAGCCTCATTCATCATAGAAAGTATGTCCTCTTCTTGCACGATCATGCACAGGAAACCATAAAACCCAAACTCTTTGATCTTTTGTGATTGACTGAGGCATATTCGAAAGGCGAACTAAGACCAACTTTATAATAAGAACTCCCAAAGGACGTCAAATATGCTTTTGTCTTTCAAACTTTTTTAATGTTTCATGCTTATTTCGCTTCGCAAGAATCACAAAAGGCTATTAAACTTATACTAGGACATTACCCGAAATGAAAGTTGTGTTGAAATGCTAAAATTGAAATTGTTAATTATGGGGGAAAATGGCAATAGTTTTCATATAAATTTGATCAGCCGTGTTTCTCGATCTTTTTTACTAATTTTTAAAGCATGCGCCAAATTCAAACATTTGTATCTCATGTAATATTACATGACCATTTTAGAGCTGTATATCAAAATCTAAATTAGCCTTTCCTCAATACAATAAAACTTATTTGAGTATAATAGCTTTAGCTATATAGGAATAAGGAAACTGTAAGATAGGATAGGATATTAAATTATATTACAACAATTTAATTCTTCTTTAGCTCATTAAGCCGCAAGCTGTTACAATGTTTCTACCTCCCAACATACAAGCAATATGGTGAATATGTGATTGAATTCAAGAGCTTTCACCAAAATGGCAATATCTCAGAAACAGTTGCATGAAACAATCTGGTCGTTTCAACCAAATATTAGTGATATATGTTTGACCAAATTTAGTTTAAATGAACTTGCATACGTACATATATCATTAGTTTTTTCAATGAGAATTTTTATTGGTAAAGCAGCGACACTTTGTTTTTCATATCACTCATCACCTAAAGGGGAAATATCTCCATAAATTTATATAAAAACAAAAAAAAGTATTTACTGAATGAGTACATATCTATCGTGTATAAAAAAAAACTGAACAGATTTGAAATTGCTCTCAATTTCGCAAAACACTCATTTGTATCCGGGTTTTTATATATATAGCTTCTTTGGGTACTTTTAATGTAGAATAATGAAAAAAATTTCTCAAACTCAAATTTTGTGAACCAAATAGCTTATTTTTAAGAAAAATGTAACTTTACGTGAATAGTTAAAGGGCTTAAACTAAACCAAATTGTCTGAGATTTTGTACAGTAATTAAAAACCCAACATATTTTCCATCCATTAACTCGAAATATGATTACAACTTTTAAATTTTGTGTGCGAGCCATTTTTAGTTTGTTGGAAAAGACACCCCCCCCCCCCTGGTTCACAAATTTTAAGTTTGAGAAATTTTTTTCATTATTCTACATTATAAGTACCCAAAGAAGCTATATATATAAAAAACCCGGATACAAATGGTGTTTTGCAAAATTGAGAGCAATGTCAAATCTGTTCAGTTTTTTTTTATACACCCTGTATTATAACCAATTTTCAGCTATTGGGATATGAATTAGAAAATGATCAAAAATTATAAAATATACTCCTTTGCTTTTTTGGGGCAAGATGTTTACAACATAAAATTTAGAACAGGAACTAAGTGTTCAAATTCAACAAAGTGTGCAAGCCAAAACACAGTGCTTGTACATCTTTCAAGTTTTTAATTACTTCAAATATATTTAAAAGGACATATGGTACCAGAATCGATGGGAAGGTGAGAAAATAGGAATTTTCTGAGGTGTTTTTAACACGGACAATGACAGCCGACATTTTCAAAGGCAAAGTGTGGTTACAAAACCAAAAGCTGTTAACCTCTCTACTCAAAGCACTGAAAAACACTGTAACAAGAAAAACATTTTAAACATACATCAGGTAAGACTTTTAGCTCAATTTTGTCATGTTTTTGTTGGAAAAGCAACAGTTTTTAGCCAAAATTATTTTGCGTGCCAATGTAGGCTGCTATAAAATCTCAGACACGCATTCTCTATTGAAGTCTGGCTCTAAAAAACAATCGCTTTCTTTAGTTTGAAGGCTTAGCCTTCATAAGGACTAATTGTGTAGAAATGTTATCTGTATGCTCAAATGAAAAAGATAACCTAATATTTAGGTATTCAACATAGCTATAAAAGGGTGAAATAAGGACTTTCATCTTTAGTTGTTTGTCAGACATGAGAAATCAATTTGTGCCATTTTGTCGCGCATGCTATTTTATAACGAAGTGGCTATTCGTACTGGGACAGTACGCCGAGTTTGATTTGCTATTCATACTACAGTCATAATATTTAAGATAAACCTGACTCCAACCCCTTCTCTAACCCTAACCAATAAGGTCTATAAACTATCTGAGAGTTAAAAAAGTCAGGGGAAAAAATTAAAAATACTTTAAGAAAAATTTCTAAGTCAAACAGAAAACCGACAGCCAAAACTAAACCCGGACCCGATCTCGTTTCACTCCGCATGCATGCAATGCCTTTGCCAAATGCGCTAGCAGCAAGCTCACTAAACTATTACTACTTTACGTAATGTAATAATCAGGTGCCATACTCCAGTACGAATAGCCACTTCGATTTTATAAAATAAACACCTCAAAACCTTAAACTGAAGCGATTTCATGATAAATAAGTGAGCAATGGGCCCAAAAGAACTGCTATAAAATTAGTGTATATTTCTTGTGATTTTCGACTTCTATTTTTAATACAGTTTGGTGAAATCATCATCTTTTTGGCTGAAAATCTCGCGCATGGTTCACATAAGAACTTGGCACAAAACGTCAATACATTCGCTTTCCTTTCATGCCAAATTTTCGTTGTAGATCATTCAAACCTCTTCTTTTTTTTCTTTTGAAACTTGCTGTGAGATCCTTCTTTGCAACAGTATTGCCATTATTCATTAATTTTGAAAAACTAAGGTTTTAAACTTGAAAAACTTTGTGTGTTTCTGACCAATATGCATGACCAGGCATGATATTTTGATACACCATTGAAAAGCTCGAATTTCATGTTCTATTTTCGTATCCGTTGCTAGGCAACCTGATAAACATGTGCTCAAATATCATGCCCTCAAGTCGAGGTGTCATTTGAGGACTCATTGCCTGTTACCCACTTGCCAATCTCATGGCGCATTGCACGTTAATGAGTTAAGTGTCGAGAATTTTTCATTGTCGTTTTGAATATTGGAAAAGATCTAATTTCCTTATATTGCGCACATCGATTCCTTCGTTAGCGAGTGTGTATTTATTATAATTTGTTCTGTTATATTTTTTGTGAAGCAAAGATGCATTTCTTGTGTTATAATTATGGATATCTTTGTTGGTCATAAAATAATTAGTAGAAATTTCTGGAAGATTATGTTGATGAAAATATCGGAACATAAATGAACTTATTAAATATTCATTTAATTTGTACAAGTTTAATATTTTTAAATCGTTAAAAATTGGTTCAGTATGGTCAGAATATGATTTGAAAGTCATTAATCTTACTTTCTTTTTTCGAATATTTACTAAAACCTAGAGCTGTGATAAACAGATTCCATATACAAACCATACCCCTAAACCCTACAAAGAGTTCAAATTATATTAGACCAAGAATCAAACTACACTCACTAACTTTCAGCACTTCATGCACAAAGCCCCTTACCCAGTACACCAATGGCAGGCTTGCTGAATGTAACCCCAAACAGTACACTTTATATTACAAAACCAAAAATACCGAAACTAGGCTTATAAAATATTACTTGATACCGAGTAAATGCATGACAATTTTGATTTCTTTAATAAAATGCGATGGACTCTATTATTTTATGTACAGTAGAATAAATAGTTCATTCACGTTCAAATGAGTCATCAGTTTTCAACATATTCACACACTAATGCATTTCATATCAGACTGTGCACAGGCTAATGCACCAGACAAGTGGCAGTGTTACAAATTTTGAACTTTAAAGTATTTTCTGTTTTTACTCTTTGAAGATGATAGTTCTCTGTTTCCAAACTTCAAGATATAGTAAATTCTCATTCTCAGGAAAAGTCTCGCTGGGAAAATCAGGACATGGAACTGTGAAGAGAGGAAGCTGTGAAAGCAAATCCTGTGCAATACATTTCTTCTTTATGACTGCTGGAAATGACTGAACAATCTTCTCTTCAACTGCTGTAATATATCGAGTGAACTTATTGGTTGGAACAGTAAGGCCACCAAATGTGTTTCTCGAATCATGTCCTTTGAAATAAGAAGAGTTTACTACTATTGTCAAGTGACAAGGTTTGAACTTCATGTGTCACACTTATGTTTTTCAAAACACTTGGTAATGATGTAACAAGATACATATGTGATGGCATTGGCATTCATGGTTTGTGGAAAATTGGAAGCAGCCCCTTGCATACTACCTGGTTAATCGCAGCTGTGACAGTTAGAAGGTCAAGAAAAAGCTTTTTGAATTATTAGATAAACTCAATTCTATTGGTTTAAATGTTGTGGCAGTTATTTCCAACCTCGGTTCAAATTTCAAAAAATTCATCAATAAAGTAACTATGAAATTGATCCAGAATTACTCTGATCTGGATCAAGTGTGATATCACGATAGTCAGACTATGCAATGCAATAAACAATGCAATTGATTCAGAATTACTCTGATCTGGATCAATTGCAATATCACGATAGTCGGACTCGTCTACTATGAAGGCATAGAATAAGAAATGAATAGAAGGGCAACTCACGTGTACAACGCGTCCTAGTTTTTTTGTGCGCATGCGTCAGGTCCGCCATTACTCTGGCCAGTAAACTGGCTGCTGGCGTACTATAGATTATATGGAGAAGAGTAGTGTTTGGGCTATAAATTTGCCTTTTTCGTTCAAGTTTTTCAATGAGCGTGAAAGTTTTTGACAGAAGATGAAAGAAATAAGGTGAGGCATTGCAATTTATTAGGTAAAAGCAATCTAAAGACGTTCTATTAGCAAATACTGACCGTTTTACTTGCTTGTTAAAAGCTGTATATTCTTAGATTGAATAAAAATGTTTGGTATATTCTTGGGTAAATTGGCATGGTACTCCTATTTTATCAGATACTTATGTTAGTTCAAATCTTCATAACAATGTGCTTACAGTAAAAGCATTGTTTCATCCCAATTTTCCGTACGGTATTTAGCACAGTTGAGTATTGTATAGTGTCTGTTTCCATATCGGACATATTTTCACATTATTTTACCTGATCTGGATGTATTTTCATGTATATTCATACAAATACACAACTATTATAAACACACAACTAAAAGATTCCTTTTGTGTTTCTTTCACAAATAACAAGTGTTGCCTTCTGTAAAATAAGTGGTTTTTTGAAGTTTTAAATTTTGTATAAAACAAACTGATAGACTATAGTATAGTATACAAATGTGCTGCAGGTGAATCAGAAACATTCCTAACTATGCCCATATCATAGAAGCATTTCATCTATTGTTTTATATTCAACCAGGTATTAAACAGCATCAGAAAAGTCCTAAATTGTTGTTCTTTTATGTTATAATTATCAAGGCTATAATTAAAATATAGACTGAGTCACCATACTTTTTGTTGTTATGTACTCTGGTGAATATGATGTTTGTGGCATTACTCTGAGTATGCATCCACACTGGGCAAACTGAAAAGTTTGCCTGACCACGGTCAGGCATGGTGGGAATCGAACCCACAACCTTTGGGTTATCGCTCCAATGCTCTACCAACTGAGCTATGAGGTCACCTAAGTATATAACACTAACACACACAAAAAGCATCATGTCTTAGAATACATTGATATTGAAGGAACCACACTCAGTTCCAAAATATCACCAACTCGAACTGACTTAACCTAGTGGTTCAGTTGGTTGAGCATTGGACTGGTATCCCATTAAGGTCACAGGTTCGATTCTCACCATAGTCAGGCAAACTTTTTAGTTTGTCCTGGTGTGGATGCACACACAGAGTAACACCACAAACATCAAGTTATGACCATGTTCACACTTCATCCATGCTTGACAATCACTGACACAGGCAACACATCAATTTGCCTGAGTGTATGGAATGTACAATTCCTCTGCACCGGACGGAAGTGAGTCTAGGCTCTAGGAATTGCGCATATAAGCTGTTGTGCACGCAACTCACTGATTTGTGCACAAAACTGGACAGCCTTTTCTTTCCATGCTGGGCAATTTAGGCCTCTAGCATGACTAGGTCAAGCTGGCAATGTGGCCCTTCTATAACACAGTATTATCCATGTCATAATTTTTGTTTCATTTAGTTTAATTTCTGCCTTCTGGACGTGCTCAAGCCTTGGCAACAAGTACTCAAGTTTTACTCTCTTGAAGACCAATTTGTCAATGATTGGATCATATTGTGTTATCTTTGTAATATAATATATGTATGGCAGTGCAGAAACATTAAAATTTTTTACAAAAATATGTTGAATACTCTTTCATTTCTCTCCTAGTATTACATTATGCAAGATGTGGACACCAAATATATGGGGCTGTTCCATATGAGATGTGCTGGCATTACAAAATGGACCAGGCTGCTTAGGTACTCCCATTTCAAGTTTGTATTCAAATGTGGATACATGCTTTATTTTGCCATTCAGACACCTATAAATCTAAGAATGTAGAAAGCTATCCAAAATTATATTGCAATTTCTGCATAATGCTTGCCAGGCTAGCCTGCCTCCACTAGTGTATGAAGCCAAGCTAACCTGGTTTACCAGGCCAGCCCAACTCTTATGAACAGCTCTTAATGTAGAATGTGAATGGGTTTCATATAATATATTCCTTTTGTTCCTGGAGATCTTAATTTTTTATAAACTTTTTTGCTTTAAATTTCATGCAATATTACATATAGTTCTATAACCTACAGTACCGTGCTTTCATGGTCAAAAAATAATGTCACAGCTTTGTTATACACAGTTATTAAGCCACAAATGGTCAAAGGTCTACGGAAATTATTGGGGGGGGGGGGGTATTGCCCACCTGGCCCCCTAGTGTCCACCACTGAATATATGCATTTGAACTATTGCAACAAATCAGACTTGTTTTAGACTCGTACACTTGTGCTTATTAAAATACCAATTGGACTTGTTGAAAGTTTGTTTATAACAATATAAAGTACAGAACTAAGTAGTTCCTATGCAAGATAAAATCAGCTTGTAGCCAATGTTCAAAAGGTATCTTTGAATGTTAGTAATATTTGAAACAGTTCCAAGGTTCTTTCAGACAAATCCAATTGAATATTGGACTGTGCTGGAACCATACTGACCACCTTCACTTCCTATTCTGTGATAGTGACTTTGCCACTTCTATAAAAACAAAAAATACATTAAATTCAATCAAACTTGTACACGAAAAACAGCTATAAACACATGGAAGTGACCACGTGTGCATAAAAAGCAGCTCTGCTCTGGATGAAAACCCTCAAAATGCTCAAATCTATATAATATTACTGCAACATCTGAACAAAAAAAAACGTATTCACACTAGCTTTAAAGACCAAGACAACCCGAAAAATAAAAAAATATGATATGTACGATAGTTGCAAAGATTAACAACGATTCACTAGTTTAAAACCTATAAACATAGTCTGTATCGTGTACTGTATATATAAATAATAATGTTCGTCAACTCCATATTTAATAGTAATATTTGTAGCTGATAAATACCTCGATTAAATGTTTTATTTGACCAATAAATGAATAAATACAAACTACTTACCTTCCTCTTGGGTGTTTTGGTTTTAAAATCTAATTTTATAAGCAAATATCCTCAAAATGTCAATTTCAAAACAAATCACAGCTCTCACTCCATATATTTTATATCGATTCCAGCTGCAAGTTACTGGCCAGAGTAATGGCCGCCGTTGTATTTCCGGCATGCGCGACACGACATGCGCGAGGACACCGACTTCAAAGGATCCGACATTCAGTTGCCCTTCTATTCATTTCTTATTCTATGACGAAGGGTTGATCTTGTGCCAGGGGTTGATTTTCTTCCGATGACTTATTCTTTGGCGGAGAATAGAGTGGCACCAAGATTTTGTCAACATCTTCCGCACAGTTTCCAGATGACTGCTTCAAGGTGTGGTTGTAAAACAACTTTTGAAAAGCTTGACAAAATTGGATCGGGTCAGATTATCAGCATTTCCTCCCTGCTGACCAATGGAACCAAAGAAAAATACTCAGGAGGATCCTGATTTAGGCATCTTGTTAATAAAAACTGATTCTACCTGCAGTTGACTCCAAAGTTGTATTGTGCCATTTAAAGTAACTCTGAGTGCATTGAGGCATTTCAGGATGTTGGTTCAATACTTGTTTTCTTTCTTGATAACTTTAATTGTGGGGATGAAGTCAAACATTTCTCACATAAAGTCCTCATGTGGTGAAGTTCGTGTGATTGCTCTTCTGAAGACTTTCGGGCTGTGTAGGGATGAGCTGTTTGGGCAGTCGAACGTTTGATCAAGTTTCATCAAGAGCTCAGCTGTACCACATGCAGCTGATGGAAGTTTACCAAGACTGACATATGTTGAAATTACTGCAGATACTGTGTGGCTTAACACTTGAGTGGCATATTTCACCTTCATCTTTTGAAATCTGTTGGGATGCATGTGCTTCTTTGTTAATTTGGGACATAAACGGATTGGTAACTTGCTATTATTGCATAGAGGGCCTCAATATCTTTCCAGCTTGCAATCTTTCCATCAAAATGAAACTCATAATTTATCATATTGTTTCTAATGGCTTTAATGATATGGGGTGGGTTGCACAAATAAAAGATCCTTCTACCATTATGCAAAAACCAAGGTTGGATTATGGCAATGTCAAGCCCATTGATGAACTTTTGGAAATTTGAACAGAGGTTGGAAATAACTGCCACAACATTTAAACCAATAGAATTGAGCTTTTTCTTGACCTTCTCACTGTCACAGCTGCCGTTAACCAGGTAGTATGCAAGGGACTGCTTCCAATTTTCTTGAATACCACATGCCATAAATACCACAAACCATGAATACCACAAACCAATGCAGGGGTTGCCATGAGATCGTTTTTAGTGTCTCCATCATCGTCAAGGCCAATGACTTCATCTTTTTCTGAATCATAATGCAGATGAGTTTTTATGGATATTTCATCTAGGGACAGTGTACACATTCTGTTTGCATCATTCATGGTCTTAACTTTAGTCTTGATAGCTTTGAAAGCTTCATCCACTATGAAAAACTTTGAAAGGAATTGGTATGCTTTTCCACTCATGTGTAGGCATGGCCCGATTGTGCTTGGCAACTTTTGAGCAACTTTTTGCGTTTGGAGCAACTTTTTTCAGTTCGAGCAACTTGAAGCAACTTTTTCGTTTTTGAGCAATTTGCCTACTCATGTGATATAGGGGGTAAAGCAAAAGCTTTTGTCTCCTAGCTGTAACATTGGGCTTTGTTGGGATGAGAGTACAGTTGTATTTCCACAAAGTTGGCAATCCTGGCTGGTAAAAGGTTGTGAATGACCTCCATGGGTGTCCTCTTGTCTACATTGTGATGTTTGTTCTTCTTCATATTTGAGCTACGATGAATTCTTGTTAACTGCTTTCGCTGCTGAACATATTATTTGTCACTGTTTCCGTTTTCATGGGGTGTTATTTGATATTGCTTTGTTTGTTTGACACTCTGTATCCATTAATACAGTTGCTTGTATCAAAAGTTCAAGATCAACGTTTAACAGGGCTAATCAATTATGCAACAAAATTATCCATTTGCAAATGGTTGTCACTTGTTTCCAACCACCAAAATGACACTACGTCATTTTCTTCCCACTGAATATCTTCGGTTTCGCATCTGTCTCACTTCACTGTTCAGTTCTGGCATGCTTGTGGGTTGGACTATTATACATTAATACATAATTGTCTTAATTGATATTCGTGTGGAATTTAAACCAATCCTGGGTTGCTTGAAATTGGATACAATCATGGCTGAAGCTGTGATTTCCGATTTACTGATATTAAAGAGTGAGTGTCAACCACAATCCAGTGTGCGCTCATGTTTGTTTATATGCGAGTTAAGCGTGCATAACAGGCAGTATCGGCGGGCTCGAAAGGCAGACGGATGATATAAGAATCTCACATGCTTACTTTTTATACTTTTTTAAAAATGTCAGATGAATCGTCAGATCCAGACTTAGCAGAAGAGCGGTATGATCCAGAGGACAATTTAAATGCTTACGGCTCACCTGTTTTCCGACCTCCAGATGATATTAATATTAATGAGATTGTCGAGCAATCAGATGTTGACACTGTTCATCCTGTGAGAGCACAAGTGAGTACAGTGACAGTGCATATAAATTATATGAATATTTATATTGCAATCTTCGAAGTGGCACTTTTTTGATTACTTATATTTATACTATAACATTATTGCTTTTTTATAGTTCTGTAGTTGTAAAAACACGTGCAGTAAAGGCAGTGGGAGGAAAAAGAAGGGTTGTCCTTGCCGCGACGAAGGATTACAATGCACAGAACAGTGTTCATGTGGAACAAAGAAAGCTTCATGCAAAAACAAGGCACAAGTTGGCTCATCTACACATGATCCAAGCACAGGTCTTAATGCTTTTGAGTGACATGCACTTGCTGCTGAAGAGGCAAAGAGGGAAATTACCGTAAGTCCTAACTCCTGCGAAGTCTAAGAACACATTGTGGTTGTTGCATTTTGCTCATCGCATTTTGAAAAGCGCAATCTGTCGATAGTTCCATCTATATTGTGGCAGACATGGAATATATTGATAACAATATGGGGAGCTTATGATTTTTTGTCCTCATATGTTGCAACACAGTGGTGGAAATTTTGTTGCCCCCCCCCCCAATCAAAATGATGGTTGTTCAGATATTGTCTTAAAACTACAGTATGTCTCCTGTAGAAAGTGAATTAATAGTTCCATCACTTACCACTGGTCACTTCAAGTTTTTTCCAGCTACTTTAAATTTGAATTTTGGTTTATTGTAGGAATTTATTGCTACTCTTGATATAACCCAAAAGGATGCACTATTGGTGGATATATTACAAATGGTAAGGGAAGTCTTGACTACACTAAAAATTTGGTGAAGTTTGGTTTAGACGCATGCCCGGAAGACAAAACTGCGACACGAGAGGAGATTTCCTTTTAATTTTTGATATATAAATTCTGAATATCACAAATTTACAAAGATTATATGTTGCACATTCCGATCATATTTTTACAATAGTTTAGGTTATTATATCAAATAAATCGTTGAAAATCATGCTAAATCAAACTAAAACCAAATAAACTAACAATCCGTTTCGCGCAATCAAGACAAATGTTATTACAGTGCCTGAAGGGTAGATCTCCTCTGTTCGAGCTATTTTAAACGTTTTTTCTGTCTCTGTGTAGCAACTTAAATGCTGTCTCGATACTAACTGCGATTCTGGTTTTAAATTACACTTGCGCTTTGTATAAATTACAAGGGACGTCATGCATGCTAATATAAAGTTTTAAAATATAAAGTACTTATCCTAAACAAAGTTTGGTGGAGACATACCACCAGCTCCTGCAGAAAAACCACCATGGTGCACCTGTTGGGTGTGTCGACCAATGCCACATGAAGAGGAAAACAAGTGTTGCGGGAAAGTTAGATGTGTGACGTCATATGTTACCTTTCAAAATACATGTACAGACCGCGATGTTCTGACTATGGCAATCAGAGGCAGATGTGACATTCGGGCAGATGAACCAGACTATTTGACAAATAGTTTTCGCAAAGCTGCATATCGCCAATATATTTTGTGGAGATATAAAAAATTGGGAAGGGGAAACAGAAAAGTTGTGCCATCATGTGTTGTTCTTACAATAAGGCATTTATATCCAGCAGAAGATGGCCAATACATGGGCTTTAGGAGGGCATGAACAAAATGTGACCAGCTTGCCCTGTAAACCTTGGGTTTAACATACAGGACTATGACAATTGCCTTCATATTTTGCTGATGAAAATGTTCTTTTGCTTGTTTCTTATTATACATATTGATTAAAAATACCTAGTTTCACCTCTTAGGTAAGAAACCACTATATCCATGCTTTATACATATGTACTATACTGTAGCTTTGGGACCAAACAAATAAAAATTTTGATGGAAGGGTAATATCCTAGTGGTTGGTAATGATTTTAATCCAGTACTGGCAGTACCATGTCACTGACACTATTTCAAAACCACAAATTGCAAGATATATAACAGATGCACAAATTTGCAAGATTTATAACAGTGTTTATAATATAGGTACATCTTCATTTGACACTAGACTGTCATGCATGCTCAACTGAAATGTTAACTTGGCTGCTGCTTGTTCCTGCCTCTGCATTTTTCTCTTTTCTCTGCTAGATCTTGTGAGGGCCTTGCTGATAAGATCACTGGTCTTTGGTATTGATGCCATGGCAATAGATGGTGCAATCCTTTTCGGGTGTTCTGCTGGAATCACAACCCTGTGAAGAATAGTGTGCTTGTCGTCAATTCGACTTTTGAGGACATTGTAGGCTAGAACTGGCCAATAATCGTACGTTTTCTCCTCTTTAATAACAGAAATACTCCAATTCTTGGATCTTTTACTGTACACCTTGTTGTATTGCAACTTTCCACTTTTACCAAGTTTTAGTTTCCTGCCTACGTGTGAATAATTGTGATCAATTGCTGCCAACAATACTCGAGCTGAATACGCCTCATTTCTATAAAATTGATCCGGAAAAAATGATGCTGAAATGCATAAAGCTAGAATGAAATTAAGCAGAGATTCCCCATCGACAAGTAAAATTGTATGGCGTTAGACAAGTGAAAAAAATAAGTGGGGCACATTTCAGCTCAATGGGTTAAATAGGCATTTGCTCGAATATACCTATTTTAGTATTTTTTTCTGTCTAAAGCCGCATTTACATTGCAGCAATTTTTTGACCTAGACCTGGCCCTTAGTGTGAACGGGTTTTACCTGGCCCTTAGTGTGAACAGGTTTTACCTGGCCCGGGGACCTGGCCTGGACCACAAATTATGAGCCAGCCAAAAAGACCTGGCCTGGACCTCGATTTCTCTAGTGTGAACAGGTTTTTTTTGCTTCGACGTGGCCCAGGCAAGCAATGTTGCCATAGCACCTCAAGCCCATGATAAAAACTGGTCAGATTCTGATAAATAAAACATCAAGTAAAATTGAATTAAGCCGAATTGAGCTGGCCCAAGCTAGTGTAAACCAGTGGTGTAAACATAAACAGGTTACGTTTTTGGCAGGTACAGCTCAAACAATCGCTGCAGTGTAAACACTGCTTAATAAGAGTTTTTACTAGCCTGCTCGCTAAGTTTTTACTTGTATGTGGAAAAAGTGTATGTACCACCAGCTACCAGGTGAAATTACTGTAGATGATATACAAAGTCAACACATAAGGCAAATCATATACTCACTGAAATCCAACCCGTTTTGGTGCATATTTCAAGACTAACGAGTTAAAGTTTTCTATCCTGCTTGTGTGTCTGTAAAACATTTGCACATTCAAAGTTAACATGCGTGCAATACAGTATTTATTCATAAACATTCACTTCATACTGTATATTGTTTAAATATCAGAAAATACATGTGTGTACTGTATATACCTGAATGTCACATAGTGGTGCAGCGTGCTTAGAAATAGAGGGTCAATCACTACTTTCCGTATTGCTTCCAAAGCCTTTGTAATTTTTCCTATAATTGTCTTTCCACCTTCTTATTATTTATGATAATCTCACATGTGAAAATTATCACTTTTCAATTATCGCTTTTCTGTAAAAATTATCGCTTTTCAAAGACTGTTCTTTATATAATAAACAGACCGCAGGCAAAGAACACAAGCGCACACTGGATTGCGGTTGACACTCACTCTTTAAAGCAAGACAAAACTTTTGATAATTGTGATATAAATACGAAAACGAAATGGCAAGGAAGCTGCAGTAGATATTTTGGATACTCCCAGTGGCAACCTTGTGGATCTTGTGTAAACGGTATGCCAAAACGGACGAATTTCAGCCCTGTTCCAAATTCATTCGGTTCTGTGTAAATGTAGCCATGTCTCATGAAAAAGGGCTATGTTAAATGATTGTCCAGAACTATATAGATCCATTCAGCAAGCCAAGGAAGGTTCACTTCTAAGACACCAGTATTCTTTTCACGGGACTCCTTTCTATGTAGTAGAAAGACCTTTGACTGCAAACATGGTCCAGACCAGAAGAAAGAATTTAAATCTAAACAGGAAAATGCGAAAATAAGGTCAGTTATAGTCATGTTAAGTACTGTGGAGGTAAAATATCTAAAACAGGCTTTGCATTTTGTCTTACAAGTTTACAAAGCTTACAATGAAACCCTTTTGCTGTGAAAGAAATTTTTAGTATTTTAGCTATACGATATTACTTGTAAACGGGATATTTTGGAATATCAAACGTGACAGACTTTTTTAATATGCAGAATGAAGACCACAACTGTCCTATGAGACGGTTTTTGCCACAAAACACTGTGTCAAATATTTTACAATTAATCCTAGTAAAACATAAATGATTATTGCACTTGTAATTTAAGGTTACAGAACACCTTTGAGTGTTAATTTTGCCTAAATTTTTTTATTGGTTTCCATGAAAGCATTAGACTAGTTCTACTACCTGACCAAGTTTGAATGAAAAATGTTGAAAATACATTTCGCTGCAATAAGAACGACATTGAAAATGTAATATTCAAATTCAATTTTCTACCGAAGAGTTTTACAGTAATTACTGATTTTCAAACAAGTTGTTCTCCTGCAGGTTTCAGCCAATTTTTCTCAAATTTTCACAGGACATAGTTTACTCAAAATTACAAATCCTGCTCTAAAGGACCACATTTCACAACTTTCTCCACTGCGCACTCACACACAAAATAGTCATGCTGTCTGGTTCTCAATCTGGGGACTGTATCTTTCATTTATAGTATTTATTACATCACATTCATTCAATACAACAATCCTTTCCAATCGAATTACAAACCATTTGTTGATTAACTATATTACTGTCCGTTGATGTTGATGTTGTCCGTAAGTTGCTGCATTTATGCATTGTTCATTGATTTCAATTTAACTATTAAGGTTACAGGACACCCTTTTTAGCGTTTTGCGGAAATCGCTACTCCATGCTCAAAATCAGTCCAATTTTCATCAACTTTTCACCAAATGTTCGCCAGTGCATGAAAAATATGGTAAAGTTATAAAATTAACAAATAATAAAATAATGCAAGAATTATTCAGGAAAATCTTAAATTGTGGAATCGTTATGCTTTTGAGTTATGCTCCTGCTGGTTTTAAGTTATATTTATGAAAATATCATTTTTAAACAGTAAAATAGTTGTTCTAAAAAATTGTGTTTGGAAATTTTTGTTTATTTCGTCATTAATCCGCTGATATGGCAATTTCTTTGACGACTGCAATATACTTCTGAATTGTTTGAGTGAATTGCTCTTTATTATTAAAATATCCAAAATTAGAACAAAGCAGAACACAATTTTGAAACAGACGTCTT